GACCGACAGGACACTACCCCCGACTGTAGAGACCGACACACCACTGCCCCCGACTGTAGAGACCGACAGGACACTGCCCCCGACTGTAGAGACCGACAGGACACTGTCCCCGACTGCAGAGACCGACACACCACTGCCCCCGACTGTAGAGACCGACACACCACTGCCCCCGACTGTAGAGACCGACACACCACTGCCCCCGACTGTAGAGACCGACACACCACTGCCCCCGACTGTAGAGACCGACACACCACTGCCCCCGACTGTAGAGACCGACACACCACTGCCCCCGACTGTAGAGACCGACACACCACTGCCCCCGACTGCAGAGACCGACACACCACTGCCCCCGACTGTAGAGACCGACAGGACACTGCCCCCGACTGCAGAGACCGACACACCACTGCCCCCGACTGTAGAGACCGACACACCACTGCCCCCGACTGTAGAGACCGACACACCACTGCCCCCGACTGTAGAGACCGACAGGACACTGCCCCCGACTGTAGAGACCGACAGGACACTGCCCCCGACTGCAGAGACCGACACACCACTGCCCCCGACTGTAGAGACCGACAGGACACTGCCCCCGACTGTAGAGACCGACACACCACTGCCCCCGACTGTAGAGACCGACAAGACACTGCCCCCGACTGTAGAGACCGACACACCACTGCCCCCGACTGTAGAGACCGACACACCACTGCCCCCGACTGTAGAGACCGACAGGACACTGCCCCCGACTGTAGAGACCGACACACCACTGCCCCCGACTGTAGAGACCGACAGGACACTGAACACACCACTGCCCCCGACTGTAGAGACCGACACACCACTGCCCCCGACTGTAGAGACCGACAGGACACTGCCCCCGACTGTAGAGACCGACACACCACTGCCCCCGACTGTAGAGACCGACAGGACACTGAACACACCACTGCCCCCGACTGTAGAGACCGACAGGACACTGCCCCCGATTGTAGAGACCGACAAGACACTGCCCCCGACTGTAGAGACCGACACACACCACTGCCCCCGACTGTAGAGACCGACACACCACTGCCCCCGACTGTAGAGACCGACACACCACTGCCCCCGACTGTAGAGACCGACACACCACTGCCCCCGACTGTAGAGACCGACAAGACACTGCCCCCGACTGTAGAGACCGACACACCACTGCCCCCGACTGTAGAGACCGACAGGACACTGCCCCCGACTGCAGAGACCGACACACCACTGCCCCCGACTGCAGAGACCGACACACCACTGCCCCCGACTGTAGAGACCGACAGGACACTGAACACACCACTGCCCCCGACTGTAGAGACCGACACACCACTGCCCCCGACTGTAGAGACCGACAGGACACTGAACACACCACTGCCCCCGACTGTAGAGACCGACACACCACTGCCCCCGACTGTAGAGACCGACAGGACACTGAACACACCACTGCCCCCGACTGTAGAGACCGACACACCACTGCCCCCGACTGTAGAGACCGACAGGACACTGAACACACCACTGCCCCCGACTGTAGAGACCGACACACCACTGCCCCCGACTGTAGACCGACAGGACACCTGAACACACCACTGCCCCCGACTGTAGAGACCGACACACCACTGCCCCCGACTGTAGAGACCGACAGGACACTGCCCCCGACTGTAGAGAACGACACACCACTGCCCCCGACTGTAGAGACCGACAAGACACTGCCCCCGACTGTAGAGACCGACACACCACTGCCCCCGACTGTAGAGACCGACAGGACACTGAACACACCACTGCCCCCGACTGTAGAGACCGACACACCACTGCCCCCGACTGTAGAGACCGACAGGACACTGAACACACCCTGCCCCCGACTGTAGAGACCGACAGGACACTGAACACACCACTGCCCCCGACTGTAGAGACCGACACACCACTGCCCCCGATTGCAGAGACCGACACACCCTGCCCCCGACTGCAGAGAGCAACACACCACTGCCCCCGACTGTAGAGAACGACACACCACTGCCCCCGACTGTAGAGACCGACAGGACACTGCCCCCGACTGTAGAGAACGACACACCACTGCCCCCGACTGTAGAGAACGACACACCACTGCCCCCGACTGCAGAGACCGACACCACTGCCCCCGACTGTAGAGACCGACAGGACACTGCCCCCGACTGTAGAGACCGACAGGACACTGCCCCCGACTGTAGAGACCGACAGGACACTGCCCCCGACTGTAGAGGACCGACACACTCTGCCCCCGACTGTAGAGACCGACAGGACACTGCCCCCGACTGTAGAGACCGACACACCACTGCCCCCGACTGTAGAGACCGACACACCACTGCCCCCGACTGTAGAGACCGACAGGACACTGCCCCCGACTGCAGAGACCGACACACCACTGCCCCCGACTGTAGAGACCGACACACTCTGCCCCCGACTGTAGAGACCGACAGGACACTGCCCCCGACTGCAGAGACCGACACACCACTGCCCCCGACTGTAGAGACCGACAGGACACTGCCCCCGACTGCAGAGACCGACACACTCTGCCCCCGACTGTAGAGACCGACAGGACACTGAAGGAAACGATACCAAAGAGTGCAAAGGTTTCTCTGAATATGAGTTCATCTGAGCATGAATCTGCCTCGGTCTGTGTTTAGTTTCTTAATGTTACTAAAGAGGAGTAAGTGTAAGGACAGAGAGCTTAGGGACATCCAGATGCTAGATTACTATCAACATGTTGTCAATAATTTATTCTTTAATGTCTGTTTTTATGTCTTTTATTGTTCAGAATATCTATTGGTAATTCTGTCTGGGAAGTTTCAGAAAAGAAGATTTATGATAATGATGTTTATTGAGTGAGGTTTTAAAGGATATAGTAGTTACAGTTTGATTGGACACGTAGACCCCTCCAGCCCACAGTATGGAGGGGCGGTGTATTTATTGACATTATGAAAATATGGAGAGGGTTTAGCGCTTATTGACGCTAACATAAATATAGCATCATGTGAAGAGGAGGGAAATGGACGGAGATAATGAAAGTGAACTCCCCCCGGGGTTTGGACCACGGTGGTGGAAGCTGGAGAGATGCAGAGTGACATTACACTGAGGAGGAGGTGATGGGGAGGAGGTGGGTTGCTGCACATGCTGAAAGCTTTAGCGCCGGAATGTGACGCACGGTTTAAAAACAGCAGGTGATTGGCACAGACGTGTAGCGGTGGGAGGACTGACAGGAAGAGGTGAGAAACACAGATATTTAGTCTTCCAGTCAGATCCTCTGTTATAGATCCATACACATTTGTGAGATATTATTTTAACCCCTTAAGCTCGCAAACGAGAAAAAAAATACTTCTGCTGGCAATAGCAGATGTATTTTGAACTTCATAAGCCACAAGCTATATATCAATTTAAAGCTTATTTTCTCAGCTATATTTATATGTAAGTATAAATATGTAAACGATATCAGACTTTGCATTAAAAAGATATAACGCATAATATGGGCACAAAATAAATCGTGTTTGTATAAGTTTCTGATATTGGAATGTAACTTAAGTTATCATTTTGGTAAATCATATGTGGCTATGTGCTGAATGCTCTGTATTGTAATTCACTTTAGCTTCAGGAAGACACCGGGAGGTCTGGGGAGCTCATATGCTAAGTGTCTTTTGTTGTGTTGG